CCGAGGTCGTCAGGGGAACGTCAGGTCAGGATGTCAAAGGGCGTCGGGGGTCATCGTAAAGCATTGGGGGCGTCAGACCCGTCGGGGCACGTCTGGGGGCATGCCGGGGGCCATCGGGGGCGTGGGAGGCGTTGGAGGGTCGGGAAGTCAGGGTGGGTGGGGGCGCCCGGGGGTATGGGGCGTCAGGAGGCGTCGGGAGCATTGGGGAGCATCAGGGAGTGTCGGGGGGTGTCAGGGGTCATGGGGGCCTCTGGGTAGTAGGGGCGCCAGGGGCGTGCACTGGGGGCGGGGCCAGGCACTCCGACACTCGCCCCGCCCCCCCACTCCGCCCACCTCACCCCGCCCCAGATGCGGGGTGTCAGTTGCGGGTGCCGCACTAAGGAGGGCCCCCTCATCGCCGTGGGCAGCCGGGGTGCTGGGGAGGTGGAGCCACCCAAGAGGGGCCCTTCAGAACCCCAAGTTCGCGCCCACGGGGAGTCCCCGGACCTGCTGGGGCGGCCAGGGCTGACACGCGCCCCCGGCCCGCCCCGCTCCCCTCGGGACTGGGGTGTGAGGACGCGGCCCCGCCCCCGCCCAGGCCTGCACCGGGCATGCGCAGACCGCGGGGGCCACCCCCGGAGCCGGGCAGCTTCTCGCTGAGGGCCGGGAGAGGCCTCAAACCGGCGGCCCGGTGGGCACCACGGCACAGGGAAGCCCCCCGGGACCTCGCCCACGCTGCGGCCCAGGGCCTGCTGGCCTGAGGCCCCTCCGCGTGCGGGTGTGGGGCAGCTGGACGCACGGACGGGCCCCAGGCCTCGGCCTGTCCTGCTGAGTGACCACATCCCCCGCAGGACCCAGGCACCACCGCTGCCCCCTGGGTGGGGCTGGGCGATGACCGCCAGAGCACCGCAGCCCAGGAGCTGCTGGCCGGCGGGAAAGCTGAGAGCACACACAGGGCAAGGTCCCTGGCAGGGGCCCACGGCCCCAGGAAGATGCCAGTCCCACAGCAGACGGCCACGGGGACACAGGCCTCCACAGGAAGCCACCAAGGCAGACCACAGGCAGGGCCACAGGCCGGTCAGGTGGGGCAGGACACCCCGGGGACCAGCCGCCACGGCAGGCCCAGACCCGGGGACGGCCTCTCTCTGGACACTGCCTTCCGGCCCCTGCGTGCGGGGTCACTGGGGGCGAGGGCCGGCGGGGTCTGGCTCCGCGCACAGCCAGGTGAGCGTGGCTGGCTGGGCCCCCACGCGGAGGAGGGGCAGGGCCACGCATCTGGACGCCGGCCGCAGGCCCAGCTGTCCGGGGCTCCCCGGCTTCGCACACCACCTCGCGCTTGTCCCGGGGCGCAGGCAGGGGCTGCTGGGCCCTTCACTGGCCCCCACTGGCCCCGTGGCTCCATCTTCCAGGAAACTGCATCCTGGGGGGGGGCCACAGTCCACTGCCGCCCCGGGGCCTGAGCATGACCCCTGTGAGACGAGGCCTGAGGTTTTGGGGTGAGAACCCCAAGACGGGGTGGGGAAGCCACCGGGCTGGCCTCAGCTCTGGGGACAGAGGGGGTGACCTCTGTCTCCACGGCAATTCCAAGGGCCTCAGGTGTGGGAGACCTGGGGGTGCACACACAAAGCGAGCTTGAGGGGTGACTGCCAACTCCCGCACCCCAGAGCGCCAGCCCAGACCCGGCAGCTGGATCCAGGCCGAGTCTGCTGGCCCTTTGGGGCCTCCTGCACCCCCCAGCTCCCCGGCTGAGCCCGTGCGGCCGGCGCCCGTGGCTCCGAGGC